GCTAAGCTATAAGGGCAGAGCCTTTGCCATGGCAACATAAGTTCCCAAGGCCATAGGAGCAAAACCTCAACCAGACAAGGGGGAGCACAGCGCCCAGTAACAACTTGGAGACACAGATCTATAATAGTAACTGGCAAGTGAAGAACTGACATGCTTTAAGGTTAATGTGAGGTTAGCTTGGGACAGCACTTTCCTATTTGCTGGTAGAGTGAATCCAGTACACATTCTTGCTCTGAGAGCTATGGCTCAGAGACAAGTTCAGACATGCTGTAATTCTTGTCCTTGGGCATCTGTGAATGTCTTAATAGAGGTCTCTTTGCCTGGATTCTAACACTGACCAACTGTCTGCCAAGGAAGATAATTGCAGGAGGGCAGACTTCTAAGTTTATACAAAGACCTGGTTGAGAGAGCAAGGGCATTGACTGTGATTACTTTCTTGCCAGAATCACGTATTGCTGGGAACAGTCATCCAATATACTAATGCATAAGGGATATTGTGCCCAGTAATTGATTAACACACTGTAGTGCTGTCGGAAAGCTCTTCAAGCTGTAATGTGAGGGAAAGAGCTCTTAACACAAGAAATCTGCAGTGAAGACAGGTGACAGGTTATTGTTCTGCTAGATAAGGTGTCTTCATCAGATGTGCATCTCTGGTGACAGCATCCTCATTGCCTTGCGACATAAGGTCTGTCTCCATGAGATAGGCATCTCTGATGGGCTGACCCCTGAAGTCTAGGTGAGCTCTTACTGCATAATTCTGCGGTCCGTAGCACCAGGGTTTGAGTCCCAGCACTCACTGACACCTTACACTCATTTATAACTCCAGTTTCAAGGACTAAGCCCCCTTTTTTTGACTGACACAGGTACCAGGCATACACGCAGTGTATTTATGTGCATGTAGGCAAAGTATCAGTACATATAAAATAAAAATAAAACAAATCATTAAAAAAGAATTTATTTGAAAAGTGTTGCATGACTATAAGATCTGGTCAGAATAATTTTAATATTGCAACTGTTAAAATTTTCCTCTTTCTTGTCACAAGGCTGTAATTAAGTTGTCAGCTAGAGTTGCAATCATTTCAGGGCCCACCATAGTTTACAGTTAAAACTTTTTATTGTTGGCAGGATTGTCTTTGAGGGGGAAGCTCATTAGGGAAACCAGAGTGTACATAGGAAAAGGCAGTTGTCGGGGGTGGAGCAGAACCAGGGACTAGGGCTTAACTGCACTTTTGACAACAATTTGCACATTAGTAACTGGGAAATATCACTCAAGAAAGTGGACATAGACTGACCTTTATATTTTCACTCAGAATTCGTTGACAACTGCTCTTACAAATTCTGTCTTATAAATAAGGCATTAGGGTTTGGAAACAGCTTGCAACAAAGTTTTAATGTCTGAATAGCTTCCATTACTAAGGTAAATGTAATATAATGCCTTGTAGTTATGTATTGGAATGGTATTGATAGTGATTTATGTAGTTATAATTCAGTGTTTGTGTACATGTATGAGAGAGACAGAGACAGAGAGACAGTGCTGGAGATGGAATTTAAGGCCTCACGTATAGTAGGCAAGTATTCCAACATTGAGCTATAGCCTGCTACCCTTACCTTATCCAGCCTCTTGTTCTGAATGCTGGGCATTGAACCTAGGAGTTTGTGCATTTTAGGCAAGTACTCTACAACTGAACTACATATACCTCCCCGCAAAGTTCCTTTCCAGATAGCTTCCTACTGTGCAGCTCGGAAAGACTTTAGACTTATTGTAGAGTTCAGGGTGGCTCAAACTAATGGTGCCCACTCTACCTTGTTTAAGAGCTCTGGATTGCAGGTGTAAACCACCATGCCTGGGCTTTATATTACTTGAGACATTCTGTTTGTTTAGCCCAGATGAGCTCAAACTCAGGATCCTCCTGCCTCTGCCCCTGGATTATTGGGATTACATGTCCCACTAGCTACTACATTCTTTTTGTGTATTTGTTTTGTTTTGAGGCAGAGTCTCTCTACATAGCTGGGTCTGTCCTGGGACTCATTGTGTAGACCAGGCTGGCCTTGAACTCACGAGGATTGGCCTGCCTCTGCCTTTGAGTGCTGAGATTAAAGGCATGTACCACTAAATTTTAGCTACTACATTCTAATCTAGCCTTTTTTTTTTTTTAAGTTCAGTCTAATTCTGTGAGGTAACTTTTACTGATAAAATGTTTGGCTCTGTTTTGAATACTAAGGAGTAACTTTCGGTTGATGCATGTTATAATTACAAGAGTTCCAACAGACTAATTTTGAGTAGTGCATCCTAATCTCTAGAATTAAAAATAAAATCTGCTTGAAGGCATAGAGCTCAGTGGTAAAACACTTGCCTAATGTGTGAGGTCCTGGATTCAAGTCCCATCGCCACACACGATGTAACAGCAACACAGGAAGATGTGCTTTCTCAGCCAATGTGCAAGACACCCTCTGGTTATATCAAAATGCTTTGAATATGCCTTAATCCTCTTATTTTTAAAATGTATTTGATTATTTAAGTTTATATGACTTAAGTCTAAACAGAGACAGTATTTTCTTTAAATAAAAATTGGATATTATTTGATTTGGAATGATGTATTCTAGCTCATTCTATTAAGAAAACATTACATAATTGCTCCTGTAATCTAGATGAATACATGCAAACTCTGTGTGCTGTATGCTGTACAAAGTGACTTGACGGTAAGGGAGAGTCCAGGTATATAAAAATGTTGATATGGGTGACCTTTAAAAATACTCACCTGAATTTAGCATGATGGCACACGCCTTTAATCCCAGCACTTGGGAGGCAAAGACAAGAGCATCTCTGAGTTTGAGGCCAGCCTGGTCTACAGAGTTCCAGGACAGCCAGGGCTCCACAGAGAAACCCCTGTCTTGAAAACAAACAAAACCTAGTCTTTATATTATAAATTAAAATGGAGCCTGCTGTTTGAGTCAATAACAAAATACATGAAGGTGTTGCTTGAAAAAGATAGACGGTTGGGGAGACACTCAGGTTATATCCCAACAGGCAATATAGTATATCCCATGGTTGTAGTACCCAATTTGAATGGATTAGTCATTTAAAAATGAAATAATTTGCAATTATTGTACTTTAGGCTTAGATTTATAGAAAATGATATAATTTACCCAGAGAAATGTGCATGTTAAAATTAAATGTGAATCTAGTAAAAACCTTAGCAAAGTACTATCAGACTTTGATATTTGTACCCTGTACTAAATACTGCATAACAGTATTGAAATGTAAGATCTTTATATTCCAAATTTGTTTCTGTGGAGAAATTATTTTACATTAATCAGTCCTATTTAATCTTATAGTGAAACAGGAGAAACCTATACAGTTTCTTTAGTTTATTTCCATGGAATGAAGAATGATGAAGCCGCAAGAATCTAGAAGGTGGACTAATGGTATAGGTAGCTCAGTTGATAGAGTGATTGCCAAGCATTCATGAAGTCCTGGGTTAAGTCTTCAGCATGACATAAACTAGGAGTCACGGTACATAGCTATAATTCTCACATTTTGGAGGTGAAGGCAGGCATATCAGAAGTTCAAGCCTAACCTGGGCTATATGAATCCTTATTTCAAAACGGAATATTAGAAGGATCTGGAAGGTAGGGAATGGATGTTCAATAGTACAATGGCAAAAGTACTGACATACATCTGTATCTAGTGCTACTAGTATAGTATAGGGCTTGAGTCTATCACCGCTATAGCAAGATACAGAATGAATGTGTGGAGTTAAAGGCAGTAGGACACCCTTACTAACATTTGAGGATGAGATAAAATTCTGCCTGGGGGTCTCTTTCCTTTGTGTTTGCACACGACCTTAGGTGTCATTTTCCCTCCCTCCCTCCCTCCCTCCCTCCTTCCCTCCCTCCTTCCCTCCTTCCCTCGAGCTGAGGACTAACTCAAGGCAAACATTCTAGCACTGAGCTTAATCCCCAGCCCCAGTCTTTTTCTTTCTGAGGCAGGATCTCTCACTGTCTGGGCACTTTCCAAGTAAGCTTGGGTAGCGAGCCATCAACCCCAAGAATCCATCTGTCTCTGCCTCCTTGGCCACCAGGACTCCAAGAGCACACCACCACAGCCAGCTTTTTAAAGGTTGAGACAGGTTCTCACTATATTCCTGGTGTCCTCGGAACTGACTGTGTAAACCAAGCTGGTCTTGAACTCAGAGATCCACCTGACACTGCCTCCAAGTGCTGGGATTAAAGGTTTGCACCACCCTACAGCAACAGTTAGCTTTTTTTTTTTTTACATGGGTTATGCAGTTTGAAACCAGGCCTTCATATTTGTAAGGCAAGCATGCTAACAGCTAAGCCATCTCCCCAGGCCTTTCTTCTTCCTTTTGATTAGAATTTTTCTTTAAATGACAGACATGTTTGTATAAGTACTTAAGGACCAAAAGATAAAAAACAAAACAAAAACCACCACTACTAACAGAAAACAAGAGTTTGTTATTTTTCAATGACTATAGTACTTTTATGCTTGCTAATAGGAACCCATAGTAATTCTAATCTGAAGTCTCCAACCATGACAGCTGTGTAAATTTTAGTATAAAAGCAACCATGGTGGCCTGATGATCCTAAGAAGTGACAGATTTTGATCAACTGTGTATTGTTTTACTAGTATTACAAAATGATGATGGTGGTTCAATGAAATGCAAGCTCCATAGCTGATTTTTTCTGTTTTTAAAAATACAGCTGCTATTATAGTGGACATTTAAAAATTAAATCATTCAAATATCTGTATTTTCCTAGTATTTCTGATTTTGCTGAACAGCCAAATACTGCTTTTAATCCATTTTTTCCTTTGGTGAGTACATGTTTAGCTCTGTAGTATGTTTACATCTGTTCCTCCTATAGCACTACATGAGTTAATAATCTCAAATAAAATTTAAAAATCTTCTTATTCTGATAGAGAAGAAAAAACTGGATCACTTACCAGTAACTGGAGTTCTCCTATTGGGTAATCTCCACAGATCCACATTCTTTGAAGCTATTGTGAGTGGCTCGAGGACCAAGGGACCGTTGCAATCCCATTTCAGGAAGGTAAGTGAGTGCCTGCAGCATGTCTCTAGCCTCCTAAGCCCACCCCAGCTTTCTCACGTATGCATCTGTGCTGCATGCCCTCAGTTCCCGTGGATGCGCTTCACGAGGATCCTCGAGATGGACAGAAGGAAGGGGTGGATCTGTGAGGGAAAAGACCCAATAGGATAGCTCAAGTTACTGGTAAGTAATCTGGTTTTCACAAACTTGAGATTTTTTTTCTCTCAAATTTCTTCTCTTTAAGAGGTTAATAGAAAGGAAGTTGTTTTAGATGACATTTTTTGTATGTTATGAAGGCTTTATGGATAATATATCAAACTATTAATAGATATATGTATAAGTATAACAGTGGTTCTAAAGTGTTATTTATATAGCTTTCTAAAAAGTATATGTTTGAGGTAAATAGTATAAAGTAATTTTCAGGAAAGCTACATGTTGAATTGTTTTAAGAATTCATTTACATTATTGCTTTTAGTGAAATACTTGAACTGTAAACTTTTACACATACAAATTTGGTCAGATTGTTTTGGCACAATATTTCTGAACAGTAAGAACAGATTTTTTTTTTTTGTTTGAGACAGGTGCTCAGTGTATAGACTAGGCTGACTTGGAACTCACAGAGATCTACCTCTCTGTCTCTCAAGTGCTGAGATTAAAAGTCTGTGCCACCATGACTGGCATTAAGTTTTAGTCAATAGCACTTACTCTTTTTCTTTCTTAGCTTTTTATACACCAAGTATACTCTGAACCATCAAGCCACATCTCCAATCCTACTACCACCTTTAAAAAAGAGATTTTTATCTTTATTCTTTGTTGTGGAAACTGGCTCTTAGATAGACTAGACTGGCTTCAAACTCCCTGAGTAGCTGAAGCTAACCTTGAACTTTTTGGTTCTTCTGCTTCCACCCCTGGAGTGTGAGGATTACAGAAGTGTCCCACCATGTCTGGCTGCCAGTGCATATCAAATGACAGTTTTCAGTGGGCCTTTTGGTTTCAAGGTGCACCTGAAGATGACCTTTCTGTGTCCTTCTCTGTAATTAAGACCCCTGCTGGTATGAAGCACTCTGATTCCACTAAGTTATGGGTTAGAATTCTCTGTCTACGCTCACACACACACACACACCCCACACACATGAGGTCCAATCCAGAATTCTATGTCTATACACACACACAAACACACACCACACACATGGGTTCCAATTCAGAATTCTATGTCTACACACAAACAGACAGACACACACACACACACACACACACACACACACACACACACGTTGGGGGGGTCCATTCCAAACCCGAGGCATGCTAGGGAAGTACTCTACTACTGAATTATGTCACCTACGATTCCGGTCTTATTTTTGGTTTTTCTTTTGTTTTGCACTATCCTCTAAGGACATTTTTAGCACATTGAGTCTGAGTAATATACTTCTATAGCTGTTTTATAAATTTTCATTTATTTCTGGGTATTTAAAGACATGTTCTAATTCCATTTCATTCTCTTCATGCAGTCTTAATTTCTTCAGTTTGGAACTTTGCTCATTGTTTTCACTTGGATAGTTTAAGGTTTTGGTCAGTACTTTTCCATTCTTCTTTCTGTGATTGAAAGCTGAAGCACTTCTACCCCTTACCAGTTTACATTTGTGCTGTTGTACATGAGTGGGTGGTCTGTGGAGGCCAGAGGGCAATCTCTGTCAGTCATTTCTCAAAGTTAATATACCTTGACATTGAGAGACCATGTCTCTCACAGGGTCTTGGGGCACACTGATTAGGTTAGCATGACTGGTGTGCCCCAGGGCTCTTCCTGTCTGTCTTCCCAGTAATAGCCTGACAAGTGTGGGCTGCTCTGCCTGGCTTTTTTTTTTTAAAATATTTATTTATTTATTTATTTATTTATTTATTTATTTATTTATTATGTATGCAATATTCTGTCTGTGTGTATGACCGCAGGCCAGAAGAGGGCACCAGACCCCATTATAGATGGTTGTGAGCCACCATGTGGTTGCTGGGAATTGAACTCAGGACCTTTGGAAGAGCAGGCAGTGCTCTTAACCTCTGAGCCATCTCTCCAGCCCTCTGCCTGGCTTTTTGTGTGGGTGCTGGGGATGAACTCAGGGCCCCATGCTTTTGTGGCAAGCACTTTACCAACTGAGCTGTCTCCCCAGTTCCTGGTAGCATCTGTTTTACCTCTGCTTTCTCTGTGACAGAGTGGAAATTTGGTGAATTGTATTAATTTATGGAATGTGTTTGACAGAGGGCCAGGAGCACATAGTAGCACTCCAGTAGCTAATGTTAGACTATAGATTGAGTTGAATCATTTCTGTGGTTTTAGTTACCTGTGTCACATTGCTTAGCCCTTAAATTTTAACACTGCTGGTGATTATTATGCTTCTGTGTAGCCTAGGCTGACCTTGAAACCACAAAATTCCTGCTTCAGCCTCCTAAATGCTGGGATCACAGCTGTGTGCTGTCACATAAAATACCTTTTTAAATACTTAAAAGTTTGTTGTATGGTTTTTGAGATCAAGGATAAAATTTTACCATAATCTCATGTGATTCCTAAAATCAATAACTAATAAAAATACCCATTGAAAAAATTTATTTTCTACATAAATGTGTGAATTTATTTACCACTTTTTTGTGGATGAAACGTTTATTTATTAGCTGGATAAGTTCTATGTGACCTATATTTTTCTCTGGAAAACATTTTTTTTAACCTGTTACATTGAAATTCTAGCCAGTATAATATTAACTTCTGTGGCACATTAGAAAAAGAGTATGTGGCTAGTCAGTGGTGGCACATGCCTTTAATCCCAGCACTTGGAAGGCAGAGGCAGGTGGATCTCTGTGAGTTCGAGGCCAGCCTGGTCTACAGTGTTAGTTCCAGGACAGCCAGGACTACACAAAGTAACCCCATGCTGAAAAACAAAAACCAACACACACACACACACACACACACACACACACACACACGCACACACACACAGTCAGAGTGAGAATGTGGCCTCTTGTGACATTATTGAATAGCATCAGGCCATGGTTCTGCACTACTTCATGACTGGGTCTTAACTATGGCCACACAGGTCATGAAGAACACAAGTTGAGGCCCAGGTGGCATGGTAGACACCTCATCAAACAGGCTAAATTTGTGTGGGACATGATCCAGAGGATGCAAAGCCCCTAGGAAGTGTGCACCAAGGAACTACTAAAAGTATCCAAGGATAAGTGAGCACATAAGTCTGATGGACTTTGCACACTGTTGCCAAGAGGAAACAGGAGATGCTTAGGAACTATTGGCAACCAAGAGGAAAGTTCCTGCTAAGAAGGACCCATCACACTTTGTCCCCTCTCTCAAAACAGTTATGCTGCAAAATAGGGAGGGGTAGAGAGAGCGGGGGGGGGGTAATCAGGCATGGCAGCACACTTTTTTTTTTTATAAAAAAAAAGAACAACTGATTAAGTCAGTTTATTAAAATACTTGACTTCAGCATCTGCAATAGTGACTTCAGCCTCCACTCCTGGCTCAGTACCGATGGAAGTAATCTGTTTAACAAGCTCGGAAGGACTGTCTAAGTCAATGAGTTGCTTGTGGATTCTCATTTGAAAACAATCCCATGTCTTGGAACCTTAACCACAAGGTGTTTTTCTTGTAGTGATTCTCAGTGTCCTGATTCTTTTCCTTTGCTCCTCTGATCAAGTCAGCACACACCTCCAGCAGTTCACGTTGCGGGCTAGCACACTTGTAACCCCAGAACTGTGGAGGAATAGGCAGGTGGATTTCTGAGTTTTAGGTTAGCCTGGTCTACATTGGCAGTTTCCCACCTAGCTAGAGCTATACATACTGACCTTAAACTTTTATTTTTAGTCATAAATTTTTTGATACAGGGTCTCTAATTGAGTTCTGTGTTGGCCAGGCTGCCTGTGAACTCAACATTCATCTGCTTACCTCTGTTTCATGAGTGCTGAGATTAAAGTTGTGTGCCATCATGCCTAGTTTGGCCTCATTCTTTGTAGTTGAAGATGAATGCATTTTGATCCTCTACCCTTGACTTCTCAAGTGTTAGCATTACCATCAGCTTCTGCTGACACTCTGAAGCCATATCCCAACTACAACATTTACACACTCATTCTACAGCTAGCAGACAGCAGAGATGAGATTCAGAACTGATACTTAAATCTCAGTAGTCCGGGCCCAAGGTTCATTCTGCCCTGTGCTTTCAGTGCTTAGCATATGGAAAAGGCTAGGAATGCAAGAAAAAGGGAGTGGAAGAATGAAGTATATACTGGTGTCATCCACCACAGCAAACTTGTTTTTTTTTAAATATTTATTTATTATGTATACAACATTCTGCCTCGATGTATGCCTGCACGCCAGAGCAGGGCGCCAGATCTCAGTACAGATGGTTGTGAGCCACCATGTGGTTTCTGGGAATTGAACTCAGGACCTCTGGAAGAGCAGCCAGTACTCTTAACCTCTGAGCCATCTCTCCAGCCCACACAGCAAACTTGTAATGAACACTTATGGATGGATTTGAGAAGTGAGGGAGATCTTGGAATAGGGCAGAAAGAGAAACTAGCTTTGTAGACAGCATGTTTTCCCCTCTAAAAGTTTATAGTTTATTTTTGAAAAAGAAACACTATAAGGATTGCACTTTTTAGTTCTAATTTTCGTTTATCTTCCATATTGGTCTATGGTAGAAAAATAAAGCAACATCCTGCTATATCATTGTAGATTAGCCTAGTTTTGAGACAGCAGCAGGCAGGCACTTGAAGCCCCAGAAAAGAGCTGAGTTGGTTCAGCCTCTCTTTAAATGCTTCAGAGTTTTACAGAGAGGAAGATGGGGCAGGAGATTCACTTCCTTTTCCATATGTAGATCTACCTTTCTCCTTCCTGTTTCTCTATCCTTGCCTCTTTCCTTCCAAATATAAACTATAGCAGTAACTCACTCATTCTCTGAAGAGTAGTAGTCGATGTCATGATTTGAGGTTTAAGCAGGCAATAACAT